CTTTGGGCAGTCCCTGAGCGGGGGCCAGGACCTCACCCAGGACGGACTGGCGGACCTGGCCGTGGGAGCCCAGGCCCAGGTGCTGCTGCTCAGGTTAGAACAGCTGCTGCAGACGCTCCCCGCGTGGACACCCATGTGCTCCTGCTCCACAGCTGTGCGGCCAGGGCTAAGAGAGCCTTGCCTCAGCTCGGTGTTCCACCCACAGGACGAGACCGGTCCTCGGGGTGGGGGTGACCGTGCATTTCACGCGAGCAGAGATCCCCAGGTCTATGTTCGAGTGTCAGGAACAGGTGGCCCCTGTCCAGGACCTAGCTGATGCCAAGATCTGCTTTGAAATTTATGAAAGTACCAAGAGTCAAGGAGGTAAGTGGCCCAGTCCTGGACACCCTGACCTTTGGGGTCCCCTGACACAGGACTCCTGTGTGCTGCCTGCTCTTTCCCCGCCTGAGAAGCCTCTCCCAGCCCCCCGGGCTTCCCCATGCACTGTTTTCCTTTCCAGGTAACCTCCGGAGCTCTGTGACCTTCGAACTTACCCTTGACCCTGGCCGTCTGAGTCCACGTGCCATCTTCAAGGAGACAAACACCCGGACTCTGACTCAAACCCAAGTCTTCCGGCTGAGCCGGCGCTGTGAGACTGTGAAGCTGCTTCTCCCGGTGAGGCAGCTGGACATGGGCGAGGGCCATTTGGAGCCTGGCCGTGGGCCGGGCAGGGAAGGGCCAGGGCATGTCCTGCTGCTCTCTGGGCTCGGCCTCAGCACAGGGCCTGCTGTGCAGGTGTGCTCAGCACACATGCAGGTGGCAGCTGAGTGCGTGAATGGACCAAGCAAGGTTGGCTGCAATGGCCAGAGGTTACACAGGTGGATTTCAGGAAAGGGAACAGGGGTGCTGGACAGAGCTTTGGTGCTGCAGGCTGAGTCTTTCAGGCATTCTCTAGGCACAGTTGATGGCTCTGCTCCTCTGAGACAGGCCCTGTGTAGGGGCTGGACACACAGCAGGCGGCAAAAGGATCAGTGCCCACCAGGAACTCTTGGATGGGTGGAGGGAAAATGATGAGCTGCTGGATAGCAGATATTGGGTAGTGCTAGATGTTAGGACGGAAGATGAGACCAGGGATGTGGACAGAGAGGAGGGTGGTTTGGGAAGACACTGGGGAAAGTGAGGGGCCTGCACACAGGAAGGCAGAGCAGGTTCTGCTTGGCAGGATAGCACCAGCACATGCTTACTGAGAGCAGGGAAGTAGGTACCCAGGGCTTGGCTGTGTACCTTCCCTTCAATGCTCGTCCTCCAGGCCTGTGTGGAGGACTCAGTGAGCCCCATTGCCTTGCGCCTCAACTTCTCCCTGGAGGGCAAGCCCATCCCTTCCCTCAGAAACCTCCAACCTGTGCTGGCCCCAGACGCTCACACGTGCTTCTCGGCCTCTGTGAGTGCGGGGTGCAGGGCTCTCTGGGGGTGGCGCAGGCTGGTGCAGGCTGGCTCTGGGTCTCAGGACAACCGTGTGCGGCCCTTCTCTCAGTTGCCCTTTGAGAAGAACTGTGGAGCTGACCACATTTGCCAGGATGACCTTGGCATCACCTTCGGCTTCTCGGGGTAAGCTTCCACCTGCCATGTCTGCCCGGGGGTCCCACTTCACTTCTAGAACCTGGGACTCAGAACCCAGGTATGCAGCCCCTGTGTCCTGCCTCCTCACCCTATTCTTTACCCCAGACCATTCCCAGCCTCAGGCACAGACTCCTCTCCTCCCCCTCAATGCCCAGCTTGAAGACCCTGGTGGTGGGGAGCACCTTGGAGCTGAATGCAGAAGTGACAGTGTCCAACGATGGTGAAGACTCCTATGGAACTGCAGTTACCTTCTTCTACCCAGAAGGGCTGTCCTATCGACGAGTGGCAGGACATCAGGTATTCTGTCTGGCGGGCCAGGAATCGGCACAGATAGATCTGTGCTAGGTTCAAAGCTCAGGTTGGGTGGCCATTGCTCAGCAGCCTGTAGTAGGCCAGAAGTCTGGGCTGGTCTAGGGTGCACATGGTCGGGCTATCTGGGGCTTGCCTTTGCTCTTGTGATGTTCAACTTTGGGCCTCACATTTTAAAGACACTGGCTGTCAAAAGTGAGTACCTGGAGGCCATTAGTGCAGAGAGAAAGGTACCCCACCTTGAATCTCTTTATATGCCATATCATGTCAATATTCCTCTTTCAAAGGAAAAAGTGCCTCAATCTTCAAATATTTTAAACATTATTATGTAGAAGAAAGAGTCAAATTTATTGGTTACAACGAAGTTTTTCTATGAAGAACCAAAGAGGAAATATTTCATCTTTATGGACTATACAATTTCCAACAACTTTCCCGTGGTAGAATGAAAGCACCCATTGATATGAATAAATATGTGAACGAGCATGTCTGCGAGCCAATAAAACTTTACTTATAACAATAGGATGTGGGCTATTTGCCATTCTCTGTTCTAAAAGACAGTACTACAACCAAGGGAGTCAAAGAGAAACAGTTTTTTTTCTTTTATAAAAATTTTATTATGAAAAAATTTAAACATTTGCAAAAATAGACAATAGTTCAATACATCTCCCCAAAATGTTTCACCCAGATTACACAATTACCAACATTTCTGCCTCATTTTTTCATCTACTTTTTCCTTTGCTGAAATATTTTTTTTTTGTACTGGGGATCGAACTCGGGTCCTTGTGCTTGTGAGGCATGCAGCAGAACCACTGAGCTAAATCTCCAGCCCTGCTGAAATATTTTAAAACAAATTCCAGACAGTAAGTCATCTCACCTTACAATTCTGAACATTGGAGACATCTTACAGGACCTCGAAGCCATTTTCTTACCACATGGAACGAAGGGTTCCTTGCATTTAGATCACAGTTCAATTTCCCTAATTGTCTCAAAATGTTTTTTGCTCCTGATTTATTTGAACAGGGATCTAATCTAGGTCCACTTATATTTGTGTATATCTGCCAGTCTCATTTCCAATGGGAGCACATTTTAGTTAACATATGAAAAAACACGCTAGGAAAAGCAACCTCCAGTGTGGGAGGAGTGCGTGGTCATTGAAAGTCTCCTGGACATCAGCCCAGGGCTACATGACCTTTGTTGGATATTGATTTTAACAAGTGAGTAGTAAAGAATATACTTGGAGACAATCCAGGAAACATGATCAGTATATTAAGGAGTTATTACTAATCCTGTTGGGTGTAATTTTTTGAGTCTTGTTATGTTTAAAAAATATCTTTATTAGTTGGTGGTATACATTGAAGTATACCTGCATTAAACAATATGATATCTGGAATACACTTTAAATTATTCAGGAAAAGAAAAAGTATAGAATAGCTGAATAAAACACGTGTCAAAAATTGCTAATATCTTCAGCTGAGTGATGGATTTGTGGGGTTGATTTTGTGGTCTCTCTACTTCTGAGTATGTTTGAAAACTTGCATAATAAAAGGTCATTAAAATAACAATAAATAAAGAGAGGGAAACTAAGAAATGCAATTTCTACTCTGGGAGAAAATGTGAGCAGATAGTGTTAAGGATCTTTTAAAAACATAACCTTAAGGCGGCCGTGTCTTGAAGTCTCTCTGCAACTCTGACAAGTGCTGTCTTTCGCCCTGCCATTGCCTAGGACCAGCAGCAGATTCGCTCCCCGAGGCTGACATGTGACAGCGCCCCTGCTGGGAGCCAGGGCACCCGCTGCAGCATCAACCACCTCACGCTCCGAGGGGGCACACAGGTCAGCCTGGCCCCTGCCCACCCCTGGCCCCAGCCCCATCCTGGTTTACTCCTCTGTGATCTCCCTCTTCCTCAGGTCGCCTTCGTGCTCACCTTTGATGTCTCTCCCAAAGCTGAGCTGGGAGACCGGCTGCTTGTGATAGCCAACGTGAGCAGGTGAGCTGCATGAGGCCTGGGCAGCACCCTTCGCACTCCGTCCTCCTCTTCTGCGGCCCCTGGCAGCCAGGCTTTCCTTATTTTGCAGTGAGAATAACACCCCCAGGACCAGCAAGACCACCTTCCGGCTGGAGCTCCCGGTGAAGTATGCTGTCTACACTGTGATCAGCAGGTGCTGCAAGGGTTATATTCTCCCCCACTCCACCTGGGCAAAGTGGGGGGTTCTCATCTCACGCAGCACTTGGAATATCTGTGTTGTTTTAGGTTTTATTGTCATCCTTTCCAGTGGTAGACGATACTTCTAGCGGTGCTTATTCATCAATGGGTGCTTATTGTGGGCTAGTTATAACAGAAATTGTGGTATCATTGTCATCATAACATACAATTAACAGAGGTTATAAGTCTCAAGGGCCGGGGATTTAGCTCAGTGGTGCCGCCACTTACCTCGAAAGCACAAGGTCCTGAGTTCGATCCCTGGTACCAAAAAAAAAGTCTCAGAACCCAAGATTCTCTTGGGTTTCCTGGACATATGACATGTCTCTGTCTTTGAGGTTCCTACAGCATCATTGGGGAGCAAAGTTACGATGACCCAAGCCAAAATCTCAAGGGTGGCACCCTGGGGATGATGTGGGTTTGTTAATCAGCTTTCTGTCACTGTAACAAATACCTGAGCTAATCACCTTACAAAGAGGAAAGATTTACTTTGGCTCAGTTTGGAAGCTCCAGCCCATGCTCTGTTGGTCCCATCATGTTGGGCCTCTGGTGAGGCCGTACATTGTGGCAGGAATGTGTGGCAGAGCAGAATGGCTCACCTCATAGCCACCAAGCAAGAAAGAGAAGAAGGAGGGGCTGTGGTCCCAGATCTCCTTGGCGTCCCGGCCCCCGTGACCGAGGACCCCCCACCTGGCCCACCTTCCTGAGGTTTCCCCACCTCCCAGGGCCAACGCCTGACGACAAACCTCTAGCCCAGGCCTTTGCTGGCACCCCAGATGCAGACTATAACCGTGGACAAGGGAGCGAGGGCCTCCTGTAAGGGACCTCTTGGCTCAGTGTTGAAGACTACAGCCTGAGCTTCCCCAAAGCGATTCTTTTAGAATTGCTCTTGACATTTGTGCGGGACAGGTTTTTGGTTTTTTGCAAGGAACAGACTTACACCCTGTAGGGCTTTAGAACCCCCTTCCCCTTTGCCCCTTTGTCAAGAAGAGGGACAGATGATCTTTCTGCTGCACAGGCTGGGTATGAGGGAGAAGCTGCTTGAAGGATAGGGCCTTAAAATGCTGCCTAAGGAGGATTACATGTGCAGCTTAAAGAAGAAGCCAAGTGTTTGAGCAGATACCTTCCTTCAACAAACATCTTCCCAGGGTTTACTGTGTGCCAGGTATAGTCCTGTGGTGACTTTAAATTTATTTGCAATCGAACAAAAGTTTATTGAGGTCCTTTTTGTACTCAAAACCAGACAAACCCCTGCTCTCAAGGGACATCTCTTGTTAGGTGATCTTTTTGGGCTCAGGGTTTCACACTCTCACCTGCACTTGCACACCTGCTGGCCCTGGCAGGTGCACACACAGGGGTTATTTGCTGGGGTGTGCACTGGGGCTCTTAGGCCGCCTCTGGCCAAGTGTGGCTCCATGGCACTGCCACATTCTGCAGAGGCCACTGTGTGGATGATACGCAGAGCTGTTCCGGTTGCTGGTCTGGAGCACTTGGGGAGAGGAAAGAATGAGACTTCAGAGCAGAAGAGAACTTGCATTTGGACTATGAGGCGAAGGACAGGCACCGAGGAACGGGGCGACGGGGGCACAGAGGAGGCATAGAAGGCATAGAAGAGTCCTAGCTGGCTACTTCGTGTCCAGCCTGGGGCCCGAGTAGGCCCCGAGAGGTGGTGCAGTGCTAACATCCGGCGAAGAGTCTGTTATGGCCCTCAGCTCCAAGCCCCGGGCAGAAAAAGCCGAGGGAATAGGAGAGCAGGCCCAGGGAGGCTCGTGGGAGCCCGGCAGCAGCTGTGCTCCATCAGCATGCGGTCAGCAGTGTCCGCTCGGTCCTCCCAAACTCCTGCTGTGTCCTGCACCCCATGAGGGCCTGAAAGGAAAACTGAAGTGCAGACAGGCGGAGGCGTGGCCCCATGTCTGGCCAGTCAGCAGCATGGCTCTCGCTTGGCTCCTTTCACCGCGCCCCTGCTGAGCCCCCAGCAGCCCCCTCTGGGGGCAGCTCACGCACGCTCTTAACCCTGCTCCCTAACCCTGCTCTGCCCCAGTCCAGCCACAGGCCTCATTCCGTGTCAGCCCAAGGCCCCAGTGACCGCTTGTCCCGTTGTGCCCGATCCAGGGCCTCCTCAGGGGTCCCCATGGGAGTTCACATCCATTCCTGGCTCTTCTCTCTCCAGCCACGAACAGTCAGTCAAGTACCTCAACTTTTCAGCCTCAGAGGAGGAGAGAAGCGGTGTGGCCATGCACAGATACCAGGCAAGTGGCGAGGCCGTCAGTACGCAGGCTGTGCTGGGAGCTCGGGCTGGGCCCTGCGCTCATTCCCTCTCTGTGCAGGTGCATAACCTGGGTCAGAGGGACTTGCCTGTCAGCATCAGCTTCTGGGTGCCTGTGGGGCTGAATGGAGCAGCTTTGTGGACGGAGGTGGAGGTCTCCCACCCTCAGGTAGCAGTGCTCAGACCGTGCACAGCTCGGCCACAAACGCCTTCAACTGGGTGCCCTGGGTCTCCCATGAATCAGCTGTGTTTGATCGGAGATGTTTGTTCCCTCCGTGGCTTCTCCTAGAATCCATCCACCCAGTGTTCCTCGGAGAGACTGGTTCCCACAGAGGCTGACTTCCGGACTCACATGCAGAAGAACCCTGAGCTGGTGAGGAGGGCTGTGGGCTGCCCTCTTCTGGGAGCCTCGTGTTGGAGGAATTTCATTCCACAGTCACCCTGCACCTAAGGATGTTTGCCGGACAGCCTTGTGTGCTCAGACACGACTGCTTCCCTCGAGTCACAGAGTTGAATGTCATCTTCTGTCTTCACAAGCATCTTCCTCTGGCCAGACACTACTTCTCCGTCCCCAGGACTGCTCTGTGGCTGACTGCCTGAGGTTCCACTGTGATGTCCCGTCCTTTGGCATCCAGGAGGAACTTGACTTCATCCTGAAGGGCAACCTCAGCTTCGGCTGGGTCAGCCAGGTGTGTGGCCCAACAGCAGGGGCCCGCCCCAGCTCCATGTTGTATTTGATGAGTCTGCACCTTCCTCAGGCCAGGACGTTTCCTGAACCCCGAACCCCCCTGCCCCCCTGCTAACGCCCCTCATCCCCCCTCCTCTTTTGCAGACACTGCAGAAGAAGGTGTCGGTCGTCAGTGTGGCTGAAATCACATTCAACAGGTCCATGTATGCCCAGCTTCCAGGGCAGGAGGCATTTCTGAGAGCCCAGGTAGCAACTGTGTGGTAGGCAGCAGCCATGCTGGTCAGAGGGCTCTGGATGCTGCATCTGTGTGTTGGCTGGGGCGTCGGCAAGCCCAGAGGGAGGAGGGGTGAAGGTTCCTGAGCAGTACAGCTGTCCCCAAGCACCTGGGTGGTTCTTCCTGTCACTACTTGGAGTGGGGCCTGGGGAAAGGATGGAAAGGAGCTAAAGGGCTGGGGGACGGGGAGGAGTCTGGGACTGCAAGAGGCCTGACACTGGTGGGGCCGGCTCCACTGCAGCTGAAGACAGTGCTGGAGAAGTATGAAGCCCACGACCCTGTGCCCCTCCTGGCGGGCAGCTGTGTGGGAGGGCTGCTGCTCCTGGCTCTCATCACAGCCTCGTTGTACAAGGTGAGCGCTTGACCCTGCTCCTGCCACTGGGGTCTGATGCTGCTCTTTCTTCAACTGTGGAAAGCTGTCCATTCTCTCTGCTTTCTGGCGTGTGAGAAACTCCCTCTGCCCATGATACACCAGCCTCCATCGGTCCCCATGTCTGTGCCTTTCTGTCTGCTGCTCAGACCTCTTGTCTCTCTCTTTTTTCTATCCTCTCCACTTTTCTACTTGACAGCAGACTATAACAGAAAGCACAGACATCAGTTTGAGTGTTGACACTGCCACAGTTCTTTCTTTCTCTGACAAGGCAAATGCTTGGTCCACTCTGGGTCTTGCTCTTTTCATTGTGAAGGTGATTTACTCATAGTTCACAGAGTCTTGTCTGAGTCTATATGATATAAGGTACAAGTTTCCGTGGCTGTGCTTTAAATGTAGCACAGAGGGTGATCTCTCCCTCTTTCCTTGCTATGTCTGCTCTTGTCTGCTGGACTTACTAACTTTTTCTCTTTCTTCCCCTAGGCTGGCTTCTTCAAACGTCAGTACAAGGAAATGATGGAGGAAGCAAATGGACAGGTTGGCCCAGAAAATGAGACATCAGACCCCCAAGCTGTCCAGTGAGAAACTACTCCCTGTGCTCCTTTGGACCCGGCCTGCACCCAGAGATTTACCAGCCGTTACCCAGCGGGGAGGCAGCATTCCACATGAGGGCAACTGAGGCCAAGCTGTTTCACTCTTGGGAGCACGCGATGTGCCACCCGGAAAGTCTTGTTCCGGGAAGGACATCTGACCCCTTACGGCTCGTAGAACCCTGAGGACTGGCTCTTTGCCCTGACACAGAAGACTTGACTTGGAATTAATACCTAAAAATACGTGGGCTAAAGTTGCAAGCCCCAGTGTTCCTTCCTCTGCCAGCCACCAATGATCTTTCTAAAGTGCAGAACTGAATAAGCCACCCCTCCTTGTCTATCTTCAGTGGGTGCCCATTTCTCCCACGACAGTGTCTGAATTCTCCAGCTTGTTGTGAAAAGTACAGTTTTGTCTCCTGAAGATGGGCTTCAGAGCACATGGTGCTTCCTTGTCATCCTCATTTCTAGTAAAATACTGCCAACAGAAGCTCTTAGCTTCTTTTTGGAATCTCAGGCCAAATTGGAATAAAATGTCTCCGAATTGCACTGTGTGAAGCTGGCGTCCAGCTGTGAGGTGCATCCTCACAGGAGGGGACCCAGGGCTACCACAGGTCAACCAGTTCCAGGGCAGAAGAGGCCCAGCCCACTTCCAGATTTTGAAGTTCTAAATGTAGTGAATGAGTAATCCCAGAACATGATTATAAAAAAGTATATTTCAAATGTTTGTATCAATAAATTAAAACATGCACAAAAAGTCTATGTAACTAATAGAAACTGTGTCAAAGGTCTGAGGTTAAGGCCTTCTACAGGTGTGAGTCACGGACAGTAGAGGCCATCGGGGCTCTTCATCGTGGCAAATGCTGGCCAGCCTGAGGCCTGCGGCCAGGAGAAGAGTGTTAAACAGAGTGGCGTTATGAACATCTCTCTGTGGGGTAACTTGAGCTCCTCATCCACTGTCCTTAAGGCTGTTGGAAACTGAGGGGAGGGGCAGGGATAGAGAAGCGGCCAGGCTCAGTGGCTGCCCCTCTGCCTGGAAAGGTCCCCAGAGTGAACCAATGCACAGGTGTTTCCTACCAAGCTTAGGCTGTGTTGAGGGTGCTCAGATGATCAGACTTTAGGAGAATCTGGCCTAGAATGATGTTTGTCAGAATGGGTTCCACAAATCTCAGGTGATCACTGATGATCTTCTAAGTTTTAGAACAAAAAGCAAGAGACAATTTTATCTTCATACACTGCAAACATTTGAAATACGCCATTTGTAGCGCTGCCTCCTTAGTATTGTGTTCTTAAAGGCAGCACATGGACTCAGAAGACAGCAATGTGCTCCTGGTTCACATTCAGGCAACGGATGTTATTTTCACATCTTCCTTTGTGTGCTGTTGTTTTCATTCAGTACACTTGCACTTTGGGGGTTGCCATTGTGTTGTGTTATATTCCCAAATCATACAAATGGAACAATGGCTCAAAAGCATGAAAATTGTAATAACTATTATTACTACAATGGAGTATCATGTCATCAAAATTAGCACTGACTTTTTTATTGAATCTAGTGCACGCACAGAATAGAAATGTGTGAATGCTTGGATGAGTGTTTATAAGCCAAAAATAAAATATATCTAGGAAATATTACACCATGCAAAAATTGGATTTTATTTGTTCTGTTATGCATTCACTTCTAATCCATTGTCCATTTGGAAACTGTGGTACATAGTAGTATCATGTAGTTCAAAGCTGTTGTATCATTTTCAAAAAAATATAGTGACTTCCCAGGTAAAGCCGCAAAGATTTCTTAAAACAACTGCAGCATGAAGCTTTCTGACCCCGAATCAACGAATGTTATTACTAAATACAGAAAAGAGAGGCAAAAGCTATAGTAACACAAGTCAAAGTTCCTCTTAAAGCAGGATAAGTCACATAGTTTCCAAGAAGCTTATAAAAAACAGTAGTGGAGTTAATGCTTGCATTGGAAGGCCACTTTTGCTGCAAGTAACAACAGAAAAAAATGCTTAGGAACATATAAAGGGGCTTTGCACAGCAAGCAGTCAAGGCGCAGTTTGTTGTTTAATTCATTGGTTCAACGATGACATTATGATGTAGGTTCTGTCAGGTGTGTGTAGTCCCAGACACCTGAGAGGCTGAGGTAGGAGGATTGCTTGCATTCAGGAGTTTGGGGCCAGCCTGGACAACATAGTGAAACTCCATCTTAAGAAGCAAAAACAGGTTCTTTCCAGCTCTCCAATCAGCCATCCTTGTGTGGCTTTTGTTCTTACCTTCGTCCCCTTATGGTTGCCAGAGCCCCAGCATTATATCCGCAGGTAACTGTGCCCACAGGCAAGCAGGGCAGATTCTCCTCATGCTTCTCTTTATCAAGGTGGTGAGTCATTTTCACATATTCTCGTATTTGCCCTGACTGGGACTGATTTCACCCCAGGACTGCATGGAGTGCTGAGCAAATAATCATCTACCTTTTGTATGCTCAATGATAAGAGAGCGCTCTGACGGACAGAAAGAAGGTAGCTGGTTGACGGTTGTTGGATAGGCCACCTATAGGGACTGGAAAAAATGATGCTTGAAGCATAAGCTAGGGGAAAATTATTTATCAAAGAAGTGCTTGGACACTGTAATGTCAGGGATGCAGTGGAACAGCAGTGATTAACTCATACATGTGGGACAGGAACACATTACTTAACACTTAGATTAAGTAACTGATGTGTGTTCTGAATCAGGTACCCAGCCTGTGGTAATGCCTGTGTGTGGAGTCTCAGAAAACTCAAGGAGCAGACAGTAATGTTTAATTGGTTGTTTCTAATCATTGTGTGGAGGGAAAGATGTGGTGAGATTATTGTGTTGGATGCTGGCCCAAAGAGGCCAATCTTTACACAGCTGTGGCCAGAGAGGACAGGCAAATGACAGTACAACTCTGTTTTTTTCTTTGGTACCGGGGATCGAACTCAAGACCTTGCACTTGCAAGGCAGGCACGATGCTGCTGAGCTAAATCCCCGGCCCAGACAATACAACTCTTGACCTTGCTTCAGCATTTAAGAATAGGAAAACTTGTGAATCTGAGAAGATCATGGCCATTGGATGTTCAGCCTTTCAGTGTGTGTGGAGAAACAGGCAAGTGGACAGCTGCTTTTCATATTAAAGCAATGGCAAAGTGGAAAGACGGCCATGTGGATTTAAAAGAATTAAGAAAATTAATTGTGGTACGATTCATGTAACAAAATTTATCATCATAACCATTTTAAGTGCACATTTCGACAGTGTATGTGCCAGTCTGAAGAACTCTTTCACCTGGTACACCATGACATGAAACAGCTCCCACTTTTCCGTCCTCTCCAGCTCTTAGAAATCACCATTCTACTTTTTATCTCTGAGTTTGATGTGTCGATTCCTCATCTAAGTGGAATTGTACAGTGTTGTCTTTGTGTGACTGGCTTGTGCTGCTTTGCAAGTGTCACCCATGTTGTAACATGTTTCATCGTTTCCCTCCTTCTCAGGCTGAACGATATTCCATTATATGTACAGATCACATTCTGTCCACTCACCTGTCAGTGGACTCTTGAGTCACTTTTATTTCTGAGCATTGTGACTAATGTAATGAGCATGGGTGTACAAATACCTCTTCAAGGCCTTGCTCTCAATTCTTTTGAGTATATTTCCAGAAGTGGAGTTGCTGAATTATGTGTTAATTTTATTTTTGACATTTTAAGGAACTTCCATACCGTTGTCCGTAGTGACTGCACCATCTGATATTCTCACTAAAGATGCTTAAGTGTTCCAATTTCTCTATGTGCTCAACAATATTTATTTTCTGTTTTTGTTGATTTTTATAGCTGTCTCATTGTGGTTTTGATTTGAATTTCCCTAATGATTAGTGAGGTTGAGTATCTTTCCATGAGCTTGTTATTTGTATATTTTCTTTGGAGATATGTCTATTTGGGTCATTGGCATTCTCTCTCTCCCCCCACCCCTTCCCTTTCCCTTTTGTTTTGCTGACGATCAAACCTAAGGCATTGTGCATGCTAGGCAAGCACTCTACTACTGAGCTACACCTCCAGCCTTCTTCGCCCATTTCTTTTTGGTACCAGGGATCAAACTCCAGACCTTGTGCTTGTGAGGCAGGCGGCAGAACCACTGAGCTAAATCCCTGGCTCTTCGCCCATTTTTAAATCACATCATTTGTTTCTTATTGTTGAGTGGTAGGAATTCTTTAAGTTCTTTAAATATTCTGGATATGAACATCTTATCAGATATATGATTTGCAAATATTTTCCCATTCCAAAGGTTTCCATTCTGTTATTACAGTACTTGAACCCAGGGCCTTCATACTGAGCTACATTCCCAGCCCTTTTAAAAATTTTTTGAGACAGGGTCTTGCTAAGTTGCTATAATTGGCTGGGCTTGAACTTGCAGTCCTCCTGCCTTAACCCCTCAGAGTGCTGGGATTGCAGGTGTGCACCACCATGCCTGGATGTTCCGTTTTTTAAAGTATAGAAGTTTTAACTTTGATGTAGTCTAATTATCTATTTTTTCTTTTATTGCTTAAGCTTTTGGTGCTATATCCAAGAAATCATTGCCAAACCCAATGTCCTGAAGATTTTGTCCTATTTTTTTCTTCTAAGAGTTTTATAGTTTTTGCTGTTACGTTTAGGTCTTTTGACTTATTTTGAACTAATTTTTGTATATGATGTAAGGTAAAGGTCCAACTTTACTCTTTTGCATGTGGATATCTGACTTCTTGTCTCTTTCTAATTCCTTCCTCCTCCATTACCAGTTAACTAATTTATTTTCTGTCTAGATTACTTTCATGTTCTAGGTTTTTTTATTAGTGAAGTCATATATTATTTGCTGTTTGGGGGTTGCTTTCTTTCACTCAGCATATTTTGAGATTCATACATATTATGTATACGAATACTTCATTCCCATTTATTATCAAGTAGTATGTGACTGCAACCCCATAAGGTTTAAAAAGGACTAATGTGATTTAAGACATATGATGATGACCGTTATTTCAGTTTTTAAATTCTATGTGGCTTCCTCAAGCTACACATCTCATTAATATATTATTCAATGTCTTCAATAGCCTAAATCTATCTTCCTGGGGCCCAAATATCACAATATTAAATGTTGAGGAAAGGCTATTGAGATTTCTTAAAATGAGATTATGTTACAAACTTTTTCCTGACTTGATGGTGCTCTTTACTCACTGGAAAAACAAGTGCTAATAATGTATCATCGGGCAGAGTCAAGTACGGCCTAAGAGATGAGGAATCCATTTGCCAGTACTCCAAATCCAGCCCTTAGCTCTTTTTTGCGGTTCTCACTGATTAGGCCTGATGAGACACTTACTAATGTGAGAAACTTCTCTATAACTTAGGGATTCATGCTTTATCTGAAAACCCCAGAATTATCATGTACCTTTAACAGCACGTTCAGTCCTTCCTGATGACCTGTAATTGGAAGTTAGGATCTCCTTGTTCAGTCAAAATAAAAACAGGTGGAAGGACAACATGCCAAGTGGGAGAAAATATTTGCAAACTATTCATCCAATAAGAAATTAACATACAAAATATATAAGGAACTTAACAGCAAAACCCCCCAAATAATTTGATTAAGAAATGGGAAATGATCTGAAGGAAACTTTTTCAAAAAGAAGATGTACAAATGGCCAACAAGCATATTAAAAAATGCTCAATACCAGTAATCATCAGGGAAATACAAATCAAAATCACAATGAGATATCATCTTGCTCTAGTTACAGTGGCTATTATAAAAAAGACAAAAAGTAACAAATGCAGGCAAGGATGCAGAAAAAGGGGAATTCTTATTCACTGCTGATAGGAATGTAAATTGGAACAACCACTATGGAAATCAAAAAGAAGGTTCCTCAGAAAACTAAAAATAGAGTCACCATATAATCTAGCAACCCTGCTACTAGCTATCTATCCAAAGAAAATGAAATAATGTATCAAAGAGATCATGCATTCTCATATTTATTGCAGTACTAGTCACATGATGGTATCCATTGACAGATGATCTGGTATAGAAAGCATGGTTTGTATATACAGGGAATATTATTCAACCATAAAAATAATGAAATCTTAATTGGCAATGTAGATAGAACTGGAGGACATTATATTCAGTAAAATAAACCCAGGCACCAAGAGATAAATATGCTCTCACTCATTTACAGAAGCAAAAAAAAGTTTTTGATTGCATAGAAGACAGTGGAATAGAGGTCACTAGAAACAGAAAGGGGGCCATCCACTTGGGACCCTTTCTGGGAAGCTGGGAAGCTATTCTTATTTCCAATAAGACTCTCCCAACTTTAAAAAAAAAAGACAGAAAGAAAAGAAAGAAAAAGGAAAAGAATCGAGCAAAGTGGAGTGGAGAGAGAGGTTGGATAATGGATACCAGTATGTAGTTAGAGGAATTAGTTCTCTGTTCTGTAGCAGGGGTCCCCAATCCCCAGGCCATAAACAACTATCTGTGGCCTATTAGGAACCAGGCTGCACAGCAGGCGGCAAGCAGCTAGCAAGTAAGCAAAGCTTCATCTGTATTTACAGCTGTTCTCTGTCTCGCGTGTCGCTGCCTGAGTTCCACCTCATGTCGGATCAAGGCAGCATAAGCTTCTTATTGGAGTGGAAACTCTATTGTGAACTGTGCAGGTGATGAATCTAGGCTGTGTGGTCCTTATGAGAATCTAATTCCTGATGGTCTGATGCAGAGCTGAGGCAGTGATGCTAGCACTGGGGAGCAGCTGCAAATACAGATTAACATTAGCTGAGAGGTTTGATTGCACAGAGACCCTAATAAATCAATTGCCCAAGGACTCACATCAAAACTGTTTCAGGGAGTGGCAGGTGACAATCCAGCTGCATCTGGTGGCAGGGTTTAAGTCAGGATCCAACACTTATTTTAGACTACTCATGGCCTGCTCATTATTTTTATTTACTACTTCTGTCTGTGCCTCTTTCTCACACTGGGCATTTGTCCAGTTATGTTGTGTATGCATGACAGTGGCATTGTGCCGATGATGCTGGTGCATCATGTCTAGTTGCAGGAAAACAAACTCAGGGCTCCCTCTGATTCTGTACTATGATGAGTTGTAAAATTATTTCATTGTAAAATTATTTCATTGTATATTACAATGTAATAATAATAAAGTGCACAATAAATGTAATGTGTTTGAGTCATCCCCAAACCATTCCCTCACCTGATCTGTGGAAAAATTCTCTTCCACAAAACCAGTCCCTGAAAATTGGGGACCACTGTTGTAAAGCACAGCAGGTAACTGTAGTCTATGATAGTTTATGACAAACTCCTGACTAACTAGAAGAGTTCCCAACACAGAGAAATGATAAATGTTTGAGGAGATAGAAATACTAATTATCCTGATTTAATCATTACATACTGAGTACATGTATGGGGCTATATCTTGTACCCCATAAATATGTAAGAACATTATGTATCAATAAAAAAACAAGCAAAAAGAGAAACGAAACAAAACAAAGCCCTGAACATGACGCTTGAGCTGTGGGAACCTGTGAGTCAGGTTCATTCTCGGGGCAGCTATGGTTCACTCTGGTAAAAAGTTACAGAAATATCTTCCTTCATACTCATTTGAAAAGATCATTACATAAGTGGTTTCATTTTTTAGAGAGAACTTTTAAAAAATTTACTGAGCGTGGTGGTTCTCTTATATTTGGAGCCCCGCTCCCCTGCAAAGTTCCCGAAGACCCAAGAGGAAGGAAGAGTCAGAGCCTCGGGCTGGGAGGAAGATGTTTTCATGCCACGTGTGGTATCTGCCAGTAACTGAAGATCATTGCATTCTGCCTAATTGTTCTCTTAAAAAAATGGAGAACAACTTTTGCTGAGACCAGGGATAATACAATTGAGGCAAAGTTAAACATTTTTACAGTTATTGAAATTAGCGACACACTGGCCTTAAGACATGTTTGTGGAAGTCCAAAATTAGATTGTGTATGAAATGGGATACCGCTCAAGATCGCGTCTTAAAGACAAAAGGAGGTGCAAATGGAAGAAATGAAGAGATCTTTAAATTTCTGCGCTAACGAGAATCACGAAGAGGTTAGTTTGTGGCTCCAAACGGAGAGCGGCTCACAGCACAGAACTGATGACAGCGCCGCCCAGCGCTGGGCCCAGAGGGCGGAGCAGCTGGTTTCCCCGGGAAGCCGAAGGCAGCTTCCTCAAGAACGCAGGCCTCGCTCAGTCACGGCAAGGGCATTGCACATGCGTTGAATTAATTTCCTCTCTCCATGAAACAGCTGCTCAAGAAAACTGTAAATTTTTTTTATTAGAAAACTATTTTCTAGGGCTGAGGGTGTGACTCAGAGGGAACCACTTGCCTAGCATGCCCAAGGCTCAAATTCCATCCCCAGCACTACAAAACTAACTAAATAAGAAAATTATTTATATTTGATACTCAATCTACATTTTACATGTCAAATAACTGTCACACACATACGATTTATGCTGTCATACAGTTTAACCTTCGAAGTCTATTCCTAGGCTTTTCTATGTAGGATCTTCTTTCATGTTTTTGAGAAACATTTACCTGCTTGTGCTTAATTGTGGAATATTTTGAACAGAAAGTACAGAGAATAAATAACAATCACTCATTTATCTCTCTCCTGTGCCCCTCCCCATTTAAAAAATATTATAATACTAAGTGTTAAACGCTAAATATAACAAATGTTAAAAACTGCCCAACCCACCAGCAGCAATCACTCTTCGCATTTCTAGCCTCACAGATGAGTTTGCCTGTTCGACTTCATATGACAGGAATGGTTCATTGCGCCTGGCAGAGTCTTGCTTGCTTTGCTTAGATAAATCAGGCTCATCTCTGTGCTTGCCCACCTCTGTCATCTGTTCTTACTTTCTGCTGGATCCCTTGCATGATCTCACCATTTTGGTTATCCATTCTTCTGGGGGAGGGTCTACTTTTTGTAACGCTGGGGATCAGACCCAGGGATAGTCTATCACTGAGCTTCACCCCCAGATTATTTTATTTTTTATTTTGAGACAAGATTTCTCTAAGTTTCTCATGTGGGACTTGAACTTGCAATCCTTCTGCCTCAGCCTCCCAAAGTGCTAGGATTACAGGTTGTACCACTGTGCTTGGCTTTGGGTGGTCTGCTTTTTAAACCAACACCCAATCTAGGGTTGGGTTCCTCCACCCGCCCACACCACTGACACGCGGGGTGATCCCCTCCTCTCTAGGCTCCCTTTAATGTGCTGGGGGCCTCTACAGCAGTTTGCTTGGCTTTCTCCCCCTTCATTGTGTGCAGCCCCAGTGATCCTGAGGCCTGGACAGCTGTGATCGCCCTGGCCCCCAGCTGGCTCTCAAGAGCTGAGGGAGGGTGGTCCTCTGGGAGAGGAAGCCAGAACCCTGCAGGTGGTGGCAGTGGGGAGAGCTTGCAGCTCACCACCCCACCCCACGTCCCTTTGGCCTCTGTCCCACCTAGTTCTGTGATTAACCCAGGCCCTCTTCTCCACTGTGCCCCTCCTCCTGCCCCTCTGAGGCCTGAGTCATTATTTTAACTGCCCTCAGGAGGAACAGGCACCCCATGCTCTAGACCTCTACTTCCCCCAGCTGCTGCTCTGCCATGACCTTCAGAGTCGTGCTCCTCCTAGGTGGTGAGTAGGGCATTCGGGGCTGGGGAGAAGCTTGGCAGGTGCATGTGGTCTCTGGTAGGTCAGGCCGGGGCTGGTAGTCAGCACCTACAGCTCTCAGGAGGAGCTGAAGGCCAGGAAGAGCCGTGTCCAGGTCTGTTTGGAAGGAGGGTTGGCGTGGAGTCTGGAGGGTGTGACTTGGACACAGGCGAGGGGAGACAGGCTTGTGGGCACTGCACACTGGGGATGGACGCCTCTCTGGACACCACATTGTCCAGGGCCTCCCTCCTCCCACTCACGGCAGCCCTGTGTGGGGACAGAAGTCTGCTCAGCACGATTCTGGAGGTGAGATCGTAGAAGCCGCCAGGGAATGGGAAAGGTCCGATGCCACCTTGCTGGGCCGGATTTCCTCCAAGTCTGGGTTTTCAGGGGGACAACTCCCATTACTGCCGAGAGAATAGTCCACAGTTTGAAAGCAATGGCTGGGTCGCATTCACGTATCACTTGGGGTCAGATATTCCACCAGGCACGGTGGTCCACGCCTGTGACCCCAGCACTCAGCTGAGGCAGGAGTGTCACTGCAAGTTCTAGGACAGCCTGGATGACATAGTGAGACCCTGTCTCCAAAAAAATCCGATTCCACTCAGTCAAAACATGGGCAACTGAAATGAATAGACACTTCTCAGAAGAAGTACAAATGGCCAATGAAAAGTATCCAACATCTCTGGCCTGACATTAGAGAAATGCAAATTAAAACAACACTGAGGTTCCAGCCTACTCCAGAATGATTATTCTCAAGAATTCAAATGCTGGAGAGATTGTGAGGGAGAAGGAACCCTTCTGCAATGTATTTTTCCCCATCTGCTTGCGTCCTTTTTTCAGTTTATCTGTCACGTTTACAGACTATAATGGGCACATGCGTCGTGAGGAGCTGGTGTATGACACTTCTTAATTCTGTTTGCGCCCCTGATCCCTGCCTTCCCTCCCGGCTGCATCCCGCCCCATCTTGTTTTTCCCCTGTCACTGTGAATGGAATCATTATGTATAGCAAACATGCACAAAAAAAGAGGAAACAAATTTAAAAGTCACATGGGAAAAAAGCCCACAGATCTCGTGCAAACATCCAGATATTCTTTAGAAACAGCAAGGTCCAGCAGACTGGCATTTGGCGCTCCCTTGGGGGGCTCGAGCTCTAAGGGCCCGGCGTTCTCGGAGCTCACTGCTGCCCACTTCAGTCACGGGGTCGCCTGCTTCGTCCACAAGGCCCTGAGAGCGGCCCCGTTCACACCCTCAGACACACCCTGGGGGAGGGCCCCAGCTCCCTAAGTGCCTGGTCTCCTTCCAGAACCCTGGCGTTCTGCCTCTGTCACCGCCTGGCCGGATGCTTAATCCCCTTAGAACTTTCCTATTCTCGAGGTTGGAATTGACCCTCAGTCCAGAGGTTACAGGAAATTCTAGAGGAATCGGAGGAAGATGGCTGCTGGGGACCTGGAGGAGTCGGGAAAAGTCCTCAAAATGTTTTCTCACCCCCGAAGCGTGGGAGATCAGCCACCAGCAAGGGGAATGTGACCAACGAGAGCAGGATTGGGTCCTGACCTGCGGTTCTGTTCAGAGTCAGCCGACAAATAATAATTACATGGCCTCCGAGGCCAGGCACTGTTCCACACACTGAATAACAGGACAAAGTCCCTCTCTTCAGAGCCTGGCACAAGATAGGGGACGTGGGAGACAAACAATCACACATAACTCATCACAGACTTTTAAGTCTGCTCCCCAGTTTGGGCCTTGTGGTCTCTGTATCATGAGAAGGTGGACGGGGCAGCCTTTCCGGAAGTAGGGCGCCCGCGTGCCCTGGGGCAGTCCCCAGGGTATTTTTATTTTTTAAATTTTTTCCTCAAATTCTTTTATTGGTACATTTTAGGTATACAATACAGTTACATTCATCACTGGGATCTTGTGCCTGTACATGATGTATCTTTGTTCTTATTTTTCCCCCATTCCCTGTGCACCCTTCCCCCCTCCCCCCTTCCCTATTTACAAAGACTTTGTTTCCATTTTTCCCTTTTCTCATATTTTTTCCTTTCCCTTCCTTCCTTTCCCCTATCCCTCCCACTTCCCCTACCCCTTTGGACCTTTTCTTCTTGTTTCACATTATGAATTATTCATTTTCATCCTTATTTACACTCTCAGTTTCTCACACCAGAGAAACTATTCGGTATTTACACATGTGTGTCCTATTTATTTCTCTTAAGAGGATGGCCTCAATGTGCATCCATTTAGCTATAAATGACTCTAGTTTCTCATTCTTTATGGCTGAGTAGCACTCCATTTTATAAAAAAACCCACATCTTCTTTATCCAGTTTCCAGCTGATGGGCACTGGGCTGTTTCCAAGCTTCAGCTGTTATAAACTGTGCTGCTATCCCACTGTAATTTTGATGATTCCCCTTTTATCCTCAGAAGATCTCAGTTTAAACAATAAATTTCACGTTCATTTTGCCTTTAAGGTCACTCCTGATCTGACATACCGGAGTGAACTGGCCCAATTTCAGGCCCTGATTAGCCTTTGAGATGCCCTCTGATGAGCCATTTGTCTGGATTGTTGCCCTTTGCACTGGTGTTTGATATTTTGGGGGAAAGAAAGAGAGTTGAGAACCACACAGACAGCCAATCAGGAAGTGTGGTGGCAAGAGACTTGGTCCTCCTGGGCAGGTGGGCCCGAGGCTGGAGTGGGGTGGGGACCAACAGAGCGGGGCAGAGGAAGTAGCTTCTCTGATTGCCTCCACTTTGCCCATATTTCTCAGTCCTGGCACCTTATCATGGATTCAACCTGGATGTGGAGGACCCCATAATCTTCCGAGAGGATGCGGCTGGCTTTGGGCAGACTGTGGTCCAGTTTGGCGGATCTCGGTAGGCCCTTCTTACCACCCTCCTCCCTGCCCTGGTCCCGCAGGCAGGGAGTTGCTGGTACTCGGGGAAGTGTCCTGGAAGAAGGGTAGCCAGGGTGGGACCTCTTCCATGTCTCTCCTGAGGCCTCGATACCACCATGTGCTATTCCTGGTCCAGGAAGGGCCATGAAACTGCAGTCCACACCCAGCCTTGAGAGGGAGGCCTTGAATCTGCCCTGCAGGTGAGGCTTCTTAAGTGACCAGTGTACTTGGACCCCCCAGTCATTACACTTGAAGTTTAATGTTTTGCACTTGGGCTCTTGAAATTCTTAATGATTTTATCTTTGTATTTGTGCTTTGCAAGTACAGACTGATGGGAGTATAGAGATGTGTCAGGGGCTTGGGGCCTTGGTTCACAAGCAGCCCACCTCCCATCACCTCCTTGAGAAGGAATCTCAGCTGCCAGCTGCCCGCCCCTGCCCAGGGACTGCTGCTGTCCTCATCCCCTGGCACGAACTGGGCAAGGCCAGGGTCAGGGCACTCACCCTGTGAGTATTCTGGAGCGTGGCTTTAGCTAGCAAAAAACACCAGGAGGGAAGGAGAGAGACTCACATATTTCTTGCCCCAGATATAGGGACCCAAGGAGTTCAAGTCATAATTTGATGCAGGTATAACCAAAGCATGGGAGGCCCAGGAAGAGAGGGATCAAAGCAAGAAGGGAATTCCAGGAGGCTCTGTCGAGGAGGTGACCCAGGAGAACACACACACGTACACCTGGCTAACAAGGAGCTGGAGAGGCCGCTGCAGGGGAAAGGCGCTCACCTCTCCCTTCCTGGGCTAGCTGGCGGGTGGGGAGATGGAAGCAAATGCAGGTGCCAGGATTTTGGATTCTCATTGTTTTGAAATGTGACACACGGATTGAAGTGCACGTGTCTGAAGGGCTCAACTCGATGACATGTGTGTACCCCAGGTTCTGCTCACTTAGACAAGGGTGTGGGACAACTCCTGGGTACCCCCTCATCTCCTGGCCACTTGACCCCAAACAAATCCAAAGGTAACCCCTGTTTCTATCCTTCACTGTCAATTTGTTATTGGGCCCCACTTTTAAAAAAGGAGTGGGAAATTGTTTATTGATTACTATTTACTAGTTCTTGCATTAAGATAAAATATACAAAGGGTGATCAAAAATGGTGTGTTTATATTTTTAATTTATTATAGTAAAAGACACATCGCCATTGATCTCCCTCAAAATACTTTCCCTCACTTTAATCATACTTACCTCTTCGTTCTCACCGCTTTCTGAAGCAGCTGGAGAAGTCATCTTTGGTGAGTGTCTTTACAAAAAAGATAAAAAATAATGAATGTTGCTGCCACCCATTGGAAAGGCACGCATGTAAAACACTACGGTTGCTCTCGTCCGTCTCACTGACAGAGCCTGGCACTGTGTGGCTTCTGGCCCTTGCCCAGGTCAGAGCGACACGTAAGGGAAACGCTTTGTCTCAATTCAGGCCGTCCGAGCAGCTGCGGCAGCTCAACAGCACAGCTAGTTGGTAACATTCTGATTACTAGAAAGTTAGCATTTTTCCTGGTTTTTGTTGAATCACAATCCAAATACTAAAAAGACTGTGTCCACTAGTAAGGAGTGAGTTGAGTAAAGAAAAACGTTCAGATCAATAGTTCAGACCTGTCTAGTATGCCAGCAGGCCCCAAATGGCGACCTCTGGAGCCCTCTGCTCAGGGTCTCAGTGGCGAAGTCAGATGCCCCAGGCCTGTGATGACAGAGATACCCACTTCCTGCAGAGCACAGTGGCCTGCAAGGAGCCTTCTGCGTCCACTCACTGAAGGCTGGAGCAGCTGCTCCACACGCTCTGGGTGAGGAGGTTGTTGGCAGTGAAAAACATGTTTCCAAAATGAAGAAAGATTTTTTACTCAGGAAGTTTTAGAATAAATGATTTGTATTTTCAGGATGATAAATACGGATAGGGATTTTGATACAGCTGCTTTATATGGTTCATCCAACTTTAATTGTTTATATTACATTTAAGTTTGTTCAATTATTTAAAAATCAACTCTTTGTTTTAAAGGCTTATAGCTTCAAGAATTACTCCATCTAACTTGAGGTGGTTATTTCTTGGGTGGCTCAAACCAAAAGCACCTCAAGAACACAATGCACTTACCCATGATTGGGAAATGCCATTTTGAAAATGTCTTATATGTTTAAGTTAACAAATATCTGTTAACCATCATGTATACAAGGATCATGATATATCTATTATCTATGTGTATATATATAAATACAAAGTGGTCAGTAATAATTTGTGCAAATTCACAAAGAATGACAGTAAGGAAGAGACTTATTATCCGGGAACTCTTCTGCCATTTTGTATTTAAATAGATTTTTGGGTGGGCAAATGTTTAAAAATGCAAAGTGTATGTGTACCCCAATGCACACATAGGCATGTCTGCACATTGAAAAGCAAATAAATGAAAACCCCTGTGTGGTCCTTGGAGAAAGGTGGGTTGAACTCAGGCGCTGATTCATGAACAGCTTCTCAAGCAGCAAATCCCAGAACTTCCCTCGCCAGGTCTCGCTTCCCCGGCACGAGGTGCTCCCTGCGCCCCGAGTGCCCCCATCGGACTGCATGTTGTACTTATGCCTGCAGACTTGTGGTGGGAGCACCCCTGGCGCCCGTGGCAGCCAACCACACTGGGCAGCTGTACGCCTGCACGTCTGCAGCGGGCAAGTGCCAGCCCATCCCCTTGCGCAGTGAGTGGCTGGACCCGTGTGGGACCCTCAGCTCTCCTCGACCCAAGTGTGCCTCTCAGAGGCTCCCAGCCCAAATTCTGCCCCTGTGGGTGTTGCTGAGTGTGCCCTGATGTGTCTGCCCTCTCAGTACCCCCAGAAGCTGTGAACATGTCCCTGGGCCTGTCCCTGGTGGCCTCCACCAACCACTCCTGGCTACTGGTGAGTTGCCTGGGTCACAGGAGGGCTGAGGCTGCGCAGCAGGGAGGAGAGGGTGGGAGGGGCCTGGGCCCTGGGTCACAGATCTGCACCCTCAGGCCTGTGGCCCAACTGCACACAGAGCGTGTGGAGAGAACATGTACGCACAGGGCTCCTGCCTCCTGCTGGGCTCCCACCTGCAGATCATCCGAGCAGCCCCCGTGGCCCTGCCAGGTAGGTCCCTTGGAGACAGAGCTTCTCAGGGCGCGCAGGCTGGCATGGAAGAACGGGCAGGGTGTGAGCTGCCCTGGCCCCTGTGCCCGTGCTCCTCTCCTGGAGGCTGAGTGTGGCTGAGTGGAGCCTGGCAAGCCTAAGGAGGGAACGGGTGGGTGCTCTGGCCCAGCTGGAGGGAAGAAGCCCTCGGCTGGTGAGCGGGAAAGTTCTGATGGGAACAGAGGGGAGCCCTGTGCAGGCCACAGAGAGCGTAAGGGTCTTACAGTTGCCAGCAGGTACACGGACACTCCCTGAGTCCAGAAGCTAGGTCTGAGATGGGAAACGTGCAGTAAGGACAGTAAACCCACAGGGAGGCAGTTCCAGGATTTCTGAACTGGCTCTTCCCCCCAAAAGGGAGAGAGTAAACGGTAGAGCTGTGGAAGGTGTGATGCAGTTTCCCCAGGGTCAGCGTCTTCAGGGAGAGTGGGCCCAAGGCATCTGTCTGAGAGTCAGTCTGTGTAATGGTGGCACTCAACTCTGAGCGTTTTGTATCACGAGCAAGGGCTCCATTTTCTGGGCTTCGGTTTCCTCATTAGTAGCATCATGGTGGTTATCAAGGTTCAAGCATTTAATGTGAATAAAGTAGGTAGATTCCCACTTGGCACATAACGGGCAACAGTTTCTCTAACTATCCTTCCAAGGCCGTGTGTTTGGACTAACAGGAAGTGCAGATAAGCTGGCAGAAGAGGGCCTGCAGCCACTGGGATATGGCCGGGAGCAATGCTTTAGACCGCAGGGCCATGAAGCCAGGGGTGGCAACTTTCAGGCTCTTGGGAGGGGCCGTGGTCCTGTCTGAGGTCTGTGACGCCAGGCAAGGTGAGGTGGCATTTTGAACTCGAGGAGGTAATGGCTGCTCACAGACATGTCTGGAATCAGGAGGCCTGATGAAAATGAACACAGGAGCATAAACCTGGGGCGGGCAAGGTGTCTGCGGATAGAGGTGGGAAGGGCTGGGGTCCACTGAGCACCACCTGAGTGCCAGGAAGTGCTGCGTGCTGGCGGCTGTCACCTTGCTGCATCCTCACAGGACTCTGGATGGTGTGCAGGATCATGGCTGCTTACTAGATGAGAACACCATGACTCAGGGTGATGAGTTCCCACTGACAGAGGCAGAGCCGAGACCTTGAGGCAGCCTCTTCCATTGCCTCAGTCCTTCTTTTAGAAAGGTGCTCAGTTCCATCCAGACACCCCTGTCAGAAGCCCAGAGCACACAGCAGAAGGAGCTTGTGAGAGGTGCTGTGGGAGATGGAGACTGAGGGTGGGATTCCGTGGTGCAGCTGAAAAAGTGGCCCTAAGTGCAAGATGTCCACTGCCTGGGCAGCGCCTGCGAGCTTTCAGCCTACCACACAGGTGGCTGGATTTGCCAGCCACTGAGGAAGCAGGCACGGAAGTGATTCTCTGGCTCGGGAGAGGAAAGGGCCTCTCTCCTCTGTGGTGGTGGGAGGCGGGTGTCCGAGGCTCTGGTTCCGTCACACCTGGGCGCGGTGGCGGCTCTCCCAGCACCAGAGCAACACGGGCTGTGTGTCCTGCACACCGGCCAGAGGACCTGGCCGAGCATGGGGCCATCTACCACGGTGCACTTTTCTACCACTGTGTTGCCTCTTTCCCGCGACAGTGTGAACCCCATGAAGGCAGAGGTGGCATCTTTTATGGGTTCAAGGTCAGATTTCCCCAGAAACAGATTCTGAGGTTCATTTGGCAGTGTGCTCAGGAGCAATACCAGTTACAGCATGAGGGAGCAGACCTGGGCCAGGACGAGATGGACAGGATGCACTTCTAGCAGAGGCTTTAGCTTGGCCCCAGGTTGCCCTTGGTGTAGGAGGTGGAACCCTAGCAGGGCAGCTCCCTTCTGCCTAGCGTGAATCCCAGGAAGGGAGTGAGCTGACAACCTTTGGCAGCCAGCTCCGTATAGGTGGAAATGTGCGGCTTGTCTTGAAAGGGATGGCCTGGGCGGCACATTGTGGGATTCACTGCAGATGTATCTACAGATCTGGAAAATTCCTGGCATGTGGTGATGATGGTGATAACAACTAACACCTGTGGAGGGCCGGGCCCTGTCTGAGGCACATTCTATCATATCAATGAGTTTTGTCCTTTCAAGAACCCAGTGTGGTAGGCACTGGATGATTATTATCCTCAATTTACTGAAGCCCAGAGAAATTAAGCAACTTGCTTGAATTCACCAACTAGAGTAAGTGGCAGATCTGGACTTCAAGGCCAGGCACTCTGAACCACTTTGCTAAACTGTCTCTCTGTGTGCTCTGCAGCATCCCCAGCATATGTGTTTACTAATTATTTGTGGACTGAATGACTGCATAGCACACCTGGCCCTGTCCTCAGCTTCTTCCTCCATTCTCGCCAGCCCATGTCGGGGCGGGGTAGGGGGGGCAGCAGTAGGGACTCAGCCAAAGGAGGAAAGGGGGAGCCAGCAGCGTATCTGAGTCTCGTGGGGGTGGGAAGGCCAAGAGGAGCTGCGCGACTGTGGAGCAGGAAGGGGTTCAGCCCTCTCCGGGGGCTCACACTTGGATCTCTGATTCCTCCCTCCCCACAGAGTGTCCAAATCAAGAGATGGACATTGCCTTTCTGGTTGATGGCTCTGGCAGCATTGACCAAAGTGACTTTCATCGGATGAAGGGTTTTGTCAAAGCTGTGATGGACCAGTTCAAGGGCACCAACACCCTGGTGAGCACCGGGCACTGAGGCCTGGAGAGGGAGCTCAGTGGAGCGGTGCCATGATGAGGCTGGGGTCCAGGGTCAAGGTCCCAGAGCAGGGCCCGTTTGAGCCCTGGCCTAGGAGGTTCTCCCCTCCACCTGCCACATTTCTGTTTAAAACACTGAAAAGATTTTAAAATAATTTTAGGGGTTGGGGATATAGCTCAGTGGTAGAGTACTTGCTTGGCATGTTCAAGGCCCTAAGTTCAATCACTGAATGTGGAAATATGTATATATATATATATATATATAATTTCCCAAATCAGAAGTTCATTAAAAGACACAACCACCATAACACATCCTGAGTACCAGGGTTTCCTCTGTGGTCTTTGCAGTTCTCCCTGATGCAGTATTCAAACATCCTGAGGATCCACTTCACTTTCACCCAATTCCAGAGCAACCCAAGCCCTCAGAGCCTGGTGGAGTCCATCGTACAACTGAAAGGCCTGACGTTCACAGCGGCAGGCATCCTGAAAGTGGTGTAAGCCCCCCTTCTTGCTGCCCTCGGAGGTGGCTGCCACCCACTTCCTAATGCTGCGTCAGTGCAGCTCTTCTGAGGGGCTGAAGGAGCACCGGAGAAGGGGCTGGGGTGGGATTGGAGGCTGCAGGTAGAGTCTTCCCTGGAGTGCTCCTGGCCCCTCACTGCCGGCTTCCCCTCGAGCAGGAATAGACCCCTCTGTGGCTGTGTTTCCCCTTTGCTTGGTTCTGGAGAGGCTGGACTCTAGAAGCCACCAGGCCAGCCAAAGGCCTGGGCTTTGATTCAGACACATCTCAGCTCCCATCCTTGCTCCCTGTTGGTTACTTGAGTAATCCTGGAAGTTACTGATTTTACCCTATCTCTCAGTAAACTTTCAGCGGAGAATAAGTTCACAACTTGCTTGTAAGAATTAAATGAGATCCTGCATGTGAGGTGCTCTCTCCAGGGCATACAGGAAGTGCCCGAGAAAGTACTGCGGTTTTAAGCCAGAGAGGCACAGGCCCTCTACCTCCCAGGGAGGCCTCGGGAGTTGTTACCAAATGGCTTCTTTGTGTGTCTCTCCCGCGCACCAACCTCCAGCCTATGCTTCCTCGGATGCATGCCCTCTTCAGCTGGGTACCTGCTCGGTACCTGCCCAGGACTGGAGCCAGGCAGCCATGTGGAAAGGGGCTTCAGCCACAGGGCCAGAGAGAAGAGGGCGTAGACCTGGGCTGAGTGTCTGGGGTCCTTGCCTTCCTGCACTCCCCCGGGAGCTGGGACAGCCCTGTGGTGGGATCATCCCGAATAAGAGATGCCCTGAGGAAAGGCACCCTCTTTGCTTTGGGGTGGCTCTTCCGCTTCAAACACTAGCCTCTTGGAACCAGACAACCAAAAGGCAAGCCTCTGTTGTGGGAGTTCAAAGTCACACAGGAGCATCCCCCTCTCCTTACCCTGAAAGGTCCCCCAGCGCTGGGTTCTAGATGGAGAAGCAAGGGAGGGAGGGGCAATAGTGTGCTTCTCACAAACTCTGACCCAGTTTCCCTCATCCCAGAATGCATTATATCTCCCAGAAGCCTCCCTGCTCCCCAGAGCCATGCCTATCCCAGAGGGAGACCTGGCCATAAGGCTTTTCTCCCCCACCCCTTTCTTTCGTTTTACAAAAAGAAGCTTCATTACAAAAAAGACAAAATTGTGATAGCATTAAGGAAAATTTTTTTAAAAAGTATTATCATAGTCCCTCTAGTTGACCTCCTTACAGTATTTTAGCAACAAGAAGCTATATGAAATGAATCAATGAATCCCACCACCTGGCACAGCAGTTTCTGTCCTGGCCTTTACTCACTTATTCTATGTGGTCACAATCAAATCAGAAACTATTTTCAAAAAATTTAGTATAACTAGTTCCATATTTTGCCACAGTTTTCAATAAAGGTGCTAGGTCATGATTTGCTAATCCCTTCCCTGTGGATGTTTCCAGCATTTGGCATGAATGTATTGTTTAGCACACATGTGTATGTGTGTATTCTGAGCCTACAGGGGTTTGTGAGCATACACAGTTACATGTGAAGTGCTTGTTTCAGCTGCCATCTAATTAGCACTCACCTGTAGGGCATTCACTGTTGTAAGTGCTTGGCCTCACTTAATCTTCCAAATAACCTGAGACCATTTGTCCCAGTTATCTATTATTGCTTAACAATTTATTACCCAATTAACTGGCTCGAACAATCTTTTGTTTTTCACAATCCCAGGGTGAGGGATTCTGCTATTCTTGCACTGTCTCTCGTCAGCTGTGGTCAGAGATCTGAGGCCAGGACACAGAGCTTTGCTCAGATGTCTGGTGGCCGGAAAGGCTGGGCTGGATGCCTGGGCCTGTCCCTCTGCACGGTCTTTGTCCTTTTGGCCACTCCACGATACCTCCAACAAGGTAGCCAGACTCCTCTCTTGGTGGCTCAGGACGTCCCGAAGTGCAAAAGCAAAAGAGATTGAGACTGTGAAGGCTCACAATTGGCATGAGGTCACTTCCCCTGCATGCTGCTCATAAAAGTGAGTCACAGGCCAGGCTAGGTTTTCTGGGAGAGGACAACCAGCTCAGGTTCATCGGGGGCCATTATTAGAGATCAGTTATGGCACAATTATTACCCTCCTCTTGCATAGAAAGAATCAAAGGTTCAAAGAAGTTAAGTAACTTATTCCAAGTCTGTTTAACTCCAGAGCGTCTGCTTTGAACCTCCTAGGAATGACATTCAGTAGTAGACAGAATAGTAGGAAAAAATAATGAGCACCTTTATTACTGGCCGTACTAATTATTGCCAATATGACTTTCAAAAAGAGCTGAATGCTTTTATTAAAGTGCCTGGTAGAGTCTGGTATGTCCTAGAATCAAGACTTCCTGAGCTGTCAGATGAGCTTCTAGGGCAGTAAATGATGTCTTTCCACAATCAATCGCATCTCAGTAATCATTTCCCTTTACCCCTCAACAGGAAAGAATTATTTCATAGCAGTAATGGAGCCCGCAAAAGTGCCAAGAAAATACTCATTGTTATCACAGATGGGCAGAAGTACAGAGATCCCCTGAACTACAGTGATGTCATCCCCCAGGCAGAGAGAGCTGGGATTACCCGCTACGCCATCGGGGTAGGGTCTTGTTTTCAGTGCTCCTCCAGACTTGGCCTGCTCGTCAGCCAGGCAAAAGGCTGCCGGGCTTCCTTCCCCCAGCTGCCTTCCTGTTGTAGGTGGGAGATGCTTTCCAGGAGCCTGCTGCCAGGCAGGAGCTGAACACGATCGGCTCCGTGCCCCCACAGGACCACGTGTTCAAGGTGGACAACTTTGCAGCCCTTGGCAACATCCAGAAGAAGCTGCGGGAGAAGATTTTTGCAGTAGAAGGTAGCTGGGAAGCAAGGTCGGCCTTGAAGTTGAACGGCCCCACCCGGGGCCTCCTAAGACCTTGAAGGCCCATTTCACCTCGCTCCAAGCTGCTTCAGAACCTGAGCCCCTGCTTGCATTCGCCTCTCTCCTCTTTGAGTCCTTAGAGCCTTGAGGCTTTGGAGAACCTCAGCAACCTGTTCTCTCACAGGAACCCAATCAAAGACAAGTAGCTCCTTCCAGCACGAGATGTCCCAGGAAGGCTTCAGTGCAGTTTTCACAATGGTGGGTGGATAAATAGGTCTCAGGTATTGATTCTGGGCCAGTTCTGGGCTGGCAGCTGAGATCCAGGAGTAAAAAGAAGAGCCTTTGTCCCAAGTTCACTGTCTGAGATTGGGAGGCATCAGGCAGTGCAGTGTATTGGGGAGCACAGCAGAGGGGAGGCTGGCTGAAGAGCTAGCCCTTGCGGAACGAATATTCCAGTGGGTGGGGATCACTTTTGGCTGTGCTAAGTGTTAAAGTAGAGAAAAAGATGGTCAGAGAAAAAAGGAAAGGAAAGAAAGAAAAGAAAAAAAAGATGAGAACGGGCCAGCCCTGGAAAAGTCTGGGGAAAGGTTGCTCTAGGTAGGGGAAAGCAAGTGCAAAGGTCCTGGGGACAAAAGCAAAGCTACCGGCCAGGTGTGGTGGCGCAGGCCTGTAATCCTAGCCCTCGGGAGGCTGAGGCAGGAGGATCAGCACAAGTTCAAGGTCAGCCTGAGGTATGCAGGGAGACCCTGTCTCACAACAAAACAAAACAAAGTTACTGTCCTAGAGATGGAAGGACCAGCGAAGAGACATCTGGGGCTTCCTAGGCACCAGCATCTGAGCAAACTGTGTTCTGGCCTCAGCTTTCTGACCACAACCCCACGGGAGACTGTGCAAGAATAGCGCACGGCAGAGCGGAAAAGGGGCAGCAAGGAAGGAGAGGGCTGGGGAGGTGGGGAGACCAGATCACAGGACCAGAGAGATGCCGGTGCAGCAAGCTTAGCTGAAAGCAGCGCTGTTTCACGTGTGCAGAAGTACCCGAGTGGGGAGTGGCAGAGATGAAAAAGAGTTAGTCTTGAATTGATCACTAAAGCCAGACATTTCTTTCTACTTTTGTACGTGTTTTAAATTTAGATTATGATCTAAAGTGTTAAAAGGCAACAAAGTATGCAGAGGAGAAAATAAGTATTGCTTCCTGAAGGTGCTGAGGAAGACCTCTGAGATTTGGAGGCTGATTCCTCCAGGGAGAGATGGGAAGAGAGGTGGGCAGGAAAGGCTGGGCGTGCTCCAGAGCGGGCTGCATGGGGCGGCGTCAGCACGCCAAGGGGGTCTGGGGAAGTGCCTGCTGGGAGGGGAGCAGGCAGAGCAGAGAGGAGCAAGGCAGCAGTGGAACGGCAGTGGGGAGGTGCCGGGCCGAGCGGACAGTGGCAGCGGCCATGGGTACCAGGACCTGGGGGCTGAGGCTACCGGTGAGGCCTTGGGGGAAGAAGAACCAAAGCGGTGAGCTGAGTTGGGGAGCAGGTGTTCCTTCGGGGTAGGCTGTCCGCTCACTCCCGCCTGCCGACTTGCAATCATTTCCGCTCAGGATGGACCCGTTCTGGGGGCT